ATTGACGTCAGAGCAACCCCAATGTTTTCGTGATCTAAAACCAGATGAAGGTGACTGACCTAGTGCTGCAGGCTTCAATCTTCTCACTGTGGAGTAAATCAAATCCCACTCTGTGCAAGAAAAAGTGTGAACGTCATTTGGGGTTGGGTCAGAGAGTCAGGCTTACAAAGAGCTTCCATCAAGAGAAAGGACTGGAACAATGTACTTGCCCTTTAAGGGCTCAGGTGAGAGGTTCAATATGCTGAACTTCTGTTCAGTAAATAATAGCCTGCATTACAGCACAAACAGGCAGGTGGCATGTATGTTTAAGTCCAGGAAGAACGAGAGGCACAAGCATACCTTTTTAATGTGCCCTATTTCTCTGGATCTTTTGGTTCCAGCTCAGACAATATCCCAGAAACAAAGAGGTACCAGTATGGGAATCTAGCTGTGCAATGGCATGGAAACTAAACAAAAGCTTTAAAGTTACCTAAACTCCATTAAAATCTATTACCAATAAAAAAAAATAGGAAATTTTGGTAACAAAAACAAAACAAATACCTCTGGGCATGGAGCATAGCTGTGGAAAAGAAGGAACTGAAGCTGTTGGGAATCACATAGCTTCTTTAAACACCTGCTCTGAAGATTTTGTGCTGCAGAACAGTGCAGTGCGCTCTTTACAGTCAAAATGGGCTTTGCTTTTCTAGAGGTTCCCAAAGATCAATGGTGAGCAGGGAAAACTGTAAAATACAGAGGCAATCCTGAAGAAAATACCTCATTTGTTCAAATATATCAACTGCCAGCAAAACCACTGTGAACTTTCTGGTCCTAATTATTTCATTGAACGTCAGTGGTCACATGTGTAATACATTACCACAAGTTGCAACTCCTTGCAGCTAGTTGAAACCCTATACTTCTACACAAAAGATGCCCGAAATACCTGCCCATTCAAGAGCAAGTTCTAAAGAAATTCTGTCAGCATAAGGCATAAACTTGCAGCTCTAATATTAATTGACTGAAATATGTTTGACACCAAAAGCTAAGACTAATTTAATGGAAACCAAAATGGTGCTCAACGATCCCTGAAATAACAAATGCAATTCTGAATTAACTGTGAGATAAAGTTACCTTTTTAAGCTTTATGGCAGATACAGTAACCTTCTACCTAGTAATTGCTAAATAGATGACAGTAGCAAATGTAATTTAAATTATGTTTAACTTGTTACGAAAACAAGAACAGAAGCCTTGGATCTTCTGAAACAAACTCTTTAGTGACACTTGCAGACACTGTACTTGGCTGAACTGCACTGTATCAGCCAGCAGAAACAAGGAAGTGGCTGGATGAAGAAAGTCCACCGAGGCTCATATAGTATTTAATGTACTAATACATAAAAATGAGAGAGAGAGAGAGTTAACCATCTTTTTTTGTTCTCTAAATAGGTGTCTAGTTCTTTATTACACACTAGTTGCTCCATTTCACACTTTGACTTATTCTTACATATGGCTACGTGTCTGAATTCTTGCAATGTCAAGTTGTTCTTCAGCTTTAATTTATGCCCCCTTTTTCTTGTGTTTGACTCCAGATCAAATAGCTTGTAGTACAACGTAGCTTTCTTTTTCCTGTAGGATTCAATACGCCTCAGAAGAGCCCTCAACATTCAGCAATAGTATGTAGGATACTCCTTGTCTTTTAATCTTCCTAACCCTCACTTTTACAGAAATATAGACCTGTCTTATAATTTATAACTGTTGAAAAAAGTTAACTATAGCATCAACAGGGTCATTCAGGTTGCTCTTAGTAAAATATCCTTTTACATTGAAAGTAGTAGGTCCAATTTTCTATTGTGACCTCTAGACCAAAAAGAATCTGAATAACTTCTCGTTATACTTCATGCTTTTATTTAGGCACCCAAGTAATTAATATTAAGAGGAAACAGTTATTTGCACCCAGCCCAGTCACAGAACCTTCTCCACATTTAGCATTTGTATTCCAGTACTGCCCAGGAGCCACAGAGATTGGACCAGGCACCGTATGTGCATATTGTTAGGACAGCCCCTGCTCCAAAGAGCTTTCAATCTAATTAGACAATACAGGCAAAGGCCTTAGTTAAACTTGCACATTATACTGCAATAAAGCTGCCCAGAGTGCTCTAACTCACTCCCCGGCCACACTGGCAAGGCATGTAGAGCGCTCTGTCTCCCTGTTTACAGCGCTACTAGTAGTCCACCTCCCCGAGAGGGATAACGTTTGCTGTGTATTGAGTGAGATGCTATAGTGTCACTGTGAATGTGGAGTTACTTTACAACGCTCTGATTGCCCTCCGGAAATGTCCCATAATCCTATTAACTGAAGTGGCATCACTTGTCTTTGTTGTGAACTCCAGCACCCTCCTGGCCACTATGGATGTAGAAACCCTCTACATCAACATTCCACACAAAGATGGACTACAAGCTACCAGGAACAGAATCCCCGATAATGTCACAGCAAACCTGGTGGCTGAACTTTGTGACTTTGTCCTCACCCATAACTATTTCACATTTGGGGACAATGTATACCTTCAAGTCAGCGGCACTGCTATGGGTACCCGCATGGCCCCACAGTATGCCAACATTTTTATGGCTGACTTAGAACAACGCTTCCTTAGCTCTCGTCCCCTAACGCCCCTACTCTACTTGCGCTACATTGATGACATCTTCATCATCTGGACCCATGGAAAAGAAGCCCTTGAGGAATTCCACCAGGATTTCAACAATTTCCATCCCACCATCAACCTCAACCAATCCATACAAGCGGTCCATTTCCTGGACACTACTGTGCTAAGCAGTGATGGTCACATAAACACCACCCTATCCCGGAAACCTCCTGACCACTATACTTACCTACATGCCTCCAGCTTCCATCCATGACACACAATACGATCCATTGTCTACAGCCAAGCTCTAAGATACAACCGCATTTGCTCCAATCCCTCAGACACAGAAAAACACCTACAAGATCTCTATCAAGCATTCTTACAACTACAATACCCACCTGCTGAAGTGAAAAAACAGATTGACAGAGCCAGAAGAGTACCTAGAAGTCACCTACTACAGGACAGGCCCAACAAAAAAAAACAACAGAATGCCACTAATCTTCACTTTCAGCCCCCAACTAAAACCTCTCCAGCGCATCATCAAAGATTTACAACCTAACCTGAAAAATGATCCCTCACTCTCACAGATCTTGGGAGACAGACCAGTCCAGCCTTACAGCCAGCCCCACAACCTGAAGCAAATACTCACCAGCAACCACACACCACACAACAAAAACACTAACCCAGGAACCTATCCTTGCAACAAAGCCAGATGCCAAGTCTGTCCACGTATTTATTCAAGTGACACCATCATAGGACCTAATCACATTAGCCACACTATCAGAGGCTCATTCACCTGCACATCTACCAATGTGATATATGCCATCATGTGCCAGCAATGCCCCTCTGCCATGTACACTGGCCAAACCAGACAGTCTCTACGCAAAAGAAAAAATGGACACAAATCTGACATCAGGAATCATAACATTCAAAAACCAGTAGGAGAACACTTCAACCTCTGTGGCCATTCAGTAAAAGACATAAGGGTGGCAATTTTGCAACAGAAAAGCTTCAAAACCAGACTCCAAGGAGAAACTGCTGAGCTTGAATTAATATGCAAACTAGATACCATTAACTTGGGTTTGAATAGAGACTGGGTGGCTGGGTCATTACACATATTGAATCTATTTCCCCATGTTAAGTATCCTCACACCTTCTTGTCAACTGTCTAAATGGGCCATCTTGATTATCACTACAAAAGTTTTTTTCTCCTGCTGATAATAGCTCATCTTAATTAATTAGCCTCTTACAGTTTGTATGGCAACTTCCACCTTCTCTGTATGTATGTGTGTATATATCTATCTTCTTACTATATGTTCCATTCTATGCATCCGATGAACTCAGCTGTAGCCCACGAAAGCTTATGCTCGAATAATTTTTTTCATCTCTAAGGCAAAGAAAAGTAGACTGACAACATACAAGCAAGGTTTCAGAGGTGCATGTCTTAATACTTTATTGAAAAAAAAAAAAAGCAACCTATGCCCTTCCACCCTCTCCCCCATTGCATTATTCAGGTGCCCCAGCCACTCTGTTCTCTCACCAATGTCCCAGATAACAAGCCTGTACTCCATCCTACCCACCCCACAGAGACTGATGTAAAGAAAAACCCATGCACCACACCAAACACAACTGTGTTTGTGTAATCTGAAGATTTGATTTAAAAAAAAAAAAAAGCCTTTCACTCCATATGGTTCCATCTGCTCCTGCCCCACAGAGGGTTTGGGAGGTTCCTATCTCCACAGGTGCTCCCTTGGGGGCAATGATAGGGGCTGGCAACAAGGATTCTCCTGCCCTTCAGTTCATGCAGCTCCAGCCATTCTGACTCCATACCTTCTCCAGGTTTCTAGCGCCTGACTGTTTTATAAAATGTACATTTAGATTCATTCCATTTTCATATGCTAGTTTTGTACTGAAAATTTCTCTAAAACAGAATGCACAAAACATTTCACTCAGGCTTCTAGTTAAGAATTTGATTACTCACCTCTTTTGTACTGACTGCCATCTACCCACTTCTCCCCCTTTCTGCCTCGGACAAAAGCAGAGTTTGTCTCATCTCCTGAGCACATTTTTATCACTTTACTGCACATTCCTTCATCCAGGTCACAGACATACAGTAACAAACTTGGTTGTGAAACTGATCCCTGGAGCATTCCAGTCATCACTTCCAACACTGACTCTACTTGCAGAGAGGACAATTTGCCACAAAAGATTTTTACAAATATAAAATAAATATTTAAGACAGTAAGTAGATTTGATATTAAGGCTTCTTTAGGGCAAAGCATCAATTTAAAGTTTTACAATTAAGTTTTCTATTTCAACAATACACATATATCCCAACCATACAGAGGGGTAAACAGTTCTCTGATGCACAGGAATTTTAACACTTACCTCTCAGTAAAGGTAGAATGGTACAGCTAAATCTCACATATGCTGAAAAGGACACTCTTGGGTTCATTATGTATTTCCAATCTGGTCCTTTCATTATATTCGAAATGTTCATTTCCTAAATTGTACATGACAGTCACTTAAAACTCCATCTGGTATTTTTGATTTACACAGGGAAATTCCATGCTAAAATATGATGTGTAAATTTTTTAGCAGTGAGTGTAATTAACCATCGAACAATTTATGAAGGGTTGTGGTGGATGCTCCATCACTGACAATTTTTAAATCAAGACTGGATGTTTTTCTAAAAGATATGATGCTCTATGAATTTTTTCAGGTAAATTCTAGGGCCTGTGTTATACAGGAGGTCAGGCTAGATAATCACAATGGTTCCTTCTAGCCTTGGAATCTATAAACATTAAACGCACTGTATTTTCCCCCCAAAGAACATTACAAAAATTCTCAGACAAAAAGATTAAACAGGAGCAAAGATTGTAAATACCTCACTATTTGGGAGAGTCTTATAAACACTGTAGTTTTCTTTAATGAACACAAACTTTTGAAACTACAGAAATGCACAATCCAACCAACCTTAACTCCACTCTGTCTGCTACTACCTTCAAACCTGTACACTTAGCATAGCCTGTGAAAGAGAAATTTATCTGGTGGAGGAGATTTCATATACATTTAAGAAGTCTGAAGGTCAGGAGCTTAAATCCACTTTATTCGCACAGTATGCCTATGAGGTTTAGGAACTATGGAGTATGTTACTTAGGTTTTGTACATGTGTATGATATACAAGTGTTGATATACATGTGTATGATATACAACATTCTGGGTGTTCAGGTTGGCATGTAATGTAGATAATTTTTGGTACATCCCTTGAAGTTTACAAATACAGTTGCTATGGATCTCTACTAAATCTCATACTACAGCAACACTTTCACATTTGAAAGTTCTTGCACATTTGGAGAAACAGTCCCAAAAAATGGTTCTGAAAGTGGACAGTTAAATGTAGACACCCATCTTTTTTTGGTAATTGTGTAGTCTTAAAGAAGATACAAAGTTGGTTGTATTTGTATAAAAATGACAGTAATGCACAAACAAGAGTAAAGCAATCCAGTTAGAGAACTTTTTTAATTCACTGATGTATTGAAGATGTGTGTCGTCTCAGGACAGGATTTTCTCCTACTTTTCAGTTCTGCATCGCTGACACAGTGACAGTTTGGGTGATCTTAAATGTGAATTTTCTATGTTTTATTACTATTATTATTGTTATTAAAGTATAACCATAACTCTGAATTTTCACACAAACATTTGTGGATTTTGAAAAAACAATAATGATCCCAAGTGCTTTAGTCCTCTAATCATGGTTGAAATTTAAAATCCTAAACCCAGCTTACATGTTTTGCTTGGGCATTTCCCTTATTTTTTAAAAATGTGTCAGAATTGCTCAGTTAACAATAGTCCTTGCTTAGCTTATGAACTTCAGAAGGACGGATCCTGCTCCTCTTCAGATACCCGACCTGCTTATCACACCCAACACAAGGAGAGGGAGCTATATATGAAGTGAAGAAGGGAGTCTATAATATGAGTTTATACGTGAAACTATTTCTAAGGCTTTGTCTACACTACCACTTTTGTTGGTAAAACTTGTGTCAGTCAGGGGTGTGAAAACACACCCCTGACTGACAAAAGTTTCACTGGCAGAAGTGCTGATGTGGACAGCGTTATGTCTGCAGAAGAGACTCTCCTGACAACATAGCTAATGCCACTTATTGGGGATGGTTTAATTATGGCGGCAAGAGAGAGCTGTGCCACTGTAAGGACAATAGTGTAGACATAGCCTTAAAGACTAAATGGCCTTCTGTTTCTTCCCAGACCAGCACTACTATTCATTTCCCAAAATGGCATTCGCTTTCTCATTCTCCCTCCAAATCTACCCTCTCCTCTGCATATGGTTCCTTATATGCTATTCCTCTTCTAGAGCTGTGGATTTTTTAAAAAAAATGCATATCAGGCCTCATCAGGTATGAGAAAACACCTGAATAATTAGATAATTCTGCTAATGATTCCCACCCTAGAACCAGCCAAAGGCACATGCCCTCATCAACAGCAACAGATAAGCTTGGTGTCTGTTAGCACCACAACCGCTTAGAAAAAAACAAAAAAAGTTACTTTATCAGTCAATCTTCTTATTCTTATCTCCCAAGCAACATGCCCAATTTACCTAAAGATATCCAGAAACATTACATTCTGACAAAAAGAAGATAGTGTCTCCCCTATGCATAACTGAACGCTGACAATAGAACAAGGTCACGGCACCAGTTTATTTAAAGGCAGAATTCCTTTTTGGGCCCAGATAAGAAGGGCACAAGTGACAACATACAAAGTGTTTGATCCTGCAGTCCTAACACACCTGTAACTTCTGTTGAAACCAGCAGAGGCCCATCTAAACTAGAGAATTATACCATGTGTAATTAAAGCATTAGTTAGCCTCTGTGTAACTAGCATGTAACAAACCATCCTCACTATAAATCCTATTTCATTTACATCTATCTCCACATCCAGCACTGGAAGTAAAGTGACGCAGGAGAATTGTCCATTATTGGATAGTATCTGGAGAACTAATTGTGTTGTACTCCAAGTTACTTATCAAAACCAGAAGTGTAACATTGAGCATACCCTTAGAATATTAGTAGCAAATTTGTGTGTAGACATTTGACATAGTAGAAGACTAATAACTTATTACCACTGACTTCCAAGGCCTAAAAGTGTGTGTGTGTGTAGAGAATTGCAGGATGGGATGTAGAGTACACTTTACATAAATATTCAAGTAGCACACAAATCATTACTTGGAGCCATTAGACACAAATGACTCAAGGAAATGCTGATGTCACTCCCAGATATGTTTTGGCAGCACTGGCTTTCCATATGCCAAGATAAAAATAATATAAATGTCTCCAATCCAATGGTGAACAGTTGTTAAAGAGTAACAAACCACACCATTTATTGTTTCACTGGGATCCTGAAGATAAACAGCCTTTTTTAGAAGAAAAAAAATGTTATAAACTACATCAGGATATTAAATTGAGGAACATAATCCATGGAGATTTGGAACTTTGCAATGCTTACATCAAGTGTCTAAAGAAAAAGAACAACAAAGCAAAAAGGTATGTAGGTAGGAACACATATTTGTGCCTAATACTTATGGAAAAAAGGGTTCAAGTTTAATTTATTCATGTTAAAATATGACCTCTCTAAAACTGCTGAGATTAATGAACATAAGAACAGCCATCCTGGGTCAGACCAAAGGTCCATCTAGCCCAGTATCCTGTCTAGTTCTTTTTTGAATATGGTGTAGTCTTGGCCTTCACAGCATCCTCTGGCAAGGAGTTCCACAGGTTGACTGTGTGTTGTGTGAAAAAATACTTCATTTTCTTTGTTTTAAACCTGCTGCCTATTAATTTCATTTGGTGACCCCCTAGTTCTTGTGTTATGAGAAGGAGTAAACAACACTTCTTTATTTACTTTCTCCACCCCAGTGATGATTTTATAGACCTCTATCATATCCCCCCCTTAGTCATCTCTTTTCCAAGCTGAGAAGTCCCAATCTTATTAATCTCTCCTCATACGGAAGCCATTCCATACCCCTAATCATTTTTGTTGCCCTTCTCTGAACCTTTTCCAGTTCCAAAGTGTCTGTTTTTGAGATGGGGCAACCACATCCGCACACAGTATTCAAGATATGGGCGTACCATGGATTTATATAGAGGCAATAGGATATTTTATGTTTTATAATCTATCCCTTTCTTAATGATTCCCAGCATTCTGTTAATGTGCAGCAGCAGTCAAAAACGCTGAGACCACAATGACTCAAAGATCTCTCTCGAGTGATAACAGCTAATTTAGACCCCATCATTATATTTTATTTGTATAGTTGAAATTATGTTTTCCAATGTGCATTACTTTGCACTTATTAACATTGAATTTCATCTGACATTTTATTGCCCAGTCACCCAACTTTGTGAGATCCTTTTGTAGCTCTTCAGTCTGCTTCAGACTTCGCTATCTTGTGTAGTTTTGTACCATCTGCAAATTTTGCCACCTCACTGTTTAGCACTTTTTCCAGGTCATTTATGAATATGTTGAACCGTACTGGTCCCAGTACAGACCCCTGGGGGACAACACTATTTGCCTCTCTCCATTCAAACTGATCATTTGTTACTACCCCGTGTTTCCTATCTTTTAACCAGTTACCAATCCATGAGAGGATCTTCCCTCTTATCCCATGACAGCTTACTTTGCTTAAGAGCCTTTGGTGAGGGACCTTGTCAAAGGCTTTCTGAAAATCTAAGTACACTATATCCACTAGATCCCCCTTGTTCACATGCTTGTTGACCCCCTCAAATATTCTAGTAGATTGGTGAGGCACGATTTCCCTTTACAAAAACCATGTTGACTCTCTCCCAACAAATTATTTTCATCTATGTGTCTGACAATTTTGTTCTTTACTATAGTTTCAACCAGTTTGCCCAGTACTGAAGTCAGGCTTACTGGCCTGTAATTGCTGGAATCACCTCTGGAGCCCTTGTAAAAATTGATGTCACATTAGCTATCCTCCAGTTATCTGGTACAGAAGCGGATTTAAATGATAGGTTACAAACCAGTTAGTAATTCCGCAATTTCACATTTTAGTTCCTTCAGATCTCTTGGGTGAATACCATCTGGTCCTGGTGACTTATTACTGTTTAGTTTATCAATTTGATCCAAAACCTCTTTAATGATACCTGAGTCTGGGACAGTTCCTCAGATTTGTCACTCAAAAAGAATGGCTCAGGTTTGGGAATCTCCCTCACATCCTCAGCTGTGAATACTGATGCAAAGAATTAATTTAGTTTCTCCATAATGGCTTTATCGTCCTTGAGTGCTCCTTAAGCATCCCGATCATGCAGTGGCCCCACTGGTTGTTTAGCAGGCTTCCTTTTTTGGTCCTCTTACTATGTGTTTTAAATGGGGATATACATTTAAGTTGAGCCTCTATTATGGTGTCTTTAAAAAGTTTCCATGCAACTTCCAGGGATTTCACTTTTGGCACTGTGCCTTTTAATTTCTTTTTAACTTCCTCATTTTTGTGTATCACCCTTTCTGAAATTAAATGCTACCATGTTGGGCTGCTGTGGTGTTTTCCCCACCACAGGGATGTTAAATGTAATTATTTTATGGTCACTGTTACCAAGTGGTCCAGCTATATTCACCTCTTGGACTAGACCCTGTGCTCCACTTAGAACTAAATCAAGAATTGCCTCTCCTCTCTCTTGTGGGTTCCAGGACTAGCTGATCCAAGAAGCAGTTATTTAAGATGTCAAGAAACTTCATCTCTGCATTCCGTCCTGAGGTGACATGTACCCAGTCAACATGGGGAGAGTTGTAATCCCCAGTTATTACTGATTTTTTTTATTTTTATAGGCTCTCTAATCTCCCTGAGCATTTCACAGTTACTATCACCATCCTGGTCAGTAATATATCCCTACTGCTACATTCTTATTATTTGAGCATGGAATTACTATCCACAGAGATTCTATGGTACAGTTGGGTTCATTTAAAATCTTTACTTCATTGGATTCTATACTTTCTTTCACATATCGTGCCACACCACCACAACCTGTTCTGTTCTTCCGATATATTTTGCACCCTGGTTTTATTGTGTCCCATTGATTACCCTCATTCCACCAAGTTTCTGTGACACCTAGTATATCAATATCCTCATTTAATATGAGGCACTTTAATTCAACCATCTTATTACTTAGACTTCTAGCATTTGTACATAAGCACTTAAAAATTGTCACTTTTTAGCTGTCTGCCATTACATGATGTAATTGAATGGGACTCTTTCATTTGACTGTTTCTCATCAGATCCTACCCGAGAGTGACCTGCTGACTAAGTGCTGCTTGCACAAACTAAAGATGCCGGGGGTAGTTATGAAACTGGATACTTTGTATTTTCAGGTCTCCTGAATATTAAGGATTAAAATTAAATTAAACTGGTTTTGTTACAAGAGAGGGAAACAGCTCCTTTCTTTTTGTAATTTCACTGTGCCCTTTTGGACATGTCCATCCCTTACCCTCCACATATCTAGTAGTTTCCCTGAGGGGACGTCTAAACATTAAAACGGACTATGCCAATTACATATAAAAACTTTAAAAGTGATACTCTGTAGTTCAAATTACTGGAGAAAACCTAGATACTGGTCAAATAAATCCTCTTTTTTGACCTGTACACATGCTTGCACCTTTCCATAAAAGCCAGAAATAGAAGGAAAACTGCTTGCCAAATGGAATCTGAAAACCAGAATTATAGTAAAAACTTAAAAAAAAATTACTCTTAGTTAAATTCACTCCAGGAAACTGCTGAGTTTGTGTCTATGGAGACTTTAAGCTGCTTGATAATTTAAAAAACGAACAAACAAAACAGAAAAGGATATCACATCAGTTACATAAGTAAGTCAGCCGAGAGGTGAAATAGTTTCCTTGAAGCTGAAATATTATTTACACTTCATTACCAGGTCTGGGAACTTCCTGTCATCAGCCTTCCTTATTACTTTCCTGCAAAAGTACTGGCAGGCAGACTCAGGTGGCATTCAGTCAATGCTCTGGCAAGTACAAAAATTGTACCGTGATAAGTTGCAAACTGATTGCAAAGATGCGTTCTTGAGCATATCAGGTACATCAGGATACTTCTCTCCCATAACAGTAAGGTTGACATTTCTCACTCATTTCAGACATATGGCTATTTAGATACATGCACTTTAAAAAAAAAAAATTATGTCCACTCTGCTCCTCTAATTGTGGGGAAAAAAAAAAAAGATTAGCCCTATTCTATGCAAATACAGCAAAAAGCCCACACTGAAGTTATTCTCAATGTGAAGTTGTGGTACCTTAAATACTTGAGTATAGCACCTTGCAAATAGTGCAATGGAACAGATTAGGACTAATCTCTTTTCAAATTCACCCTCTCTACATGAGAATTTTTCACTCAGCATAGAATTACTGGAAGCAAAGTCAAATAAAGACTGGAACCACTCAACACGACTACAGTACAAATAAGTAATCTACCATTACCATAGTAGGTAAACAAGTCAATTATTAACATATTTATTCGCATACACCTGTCAGCATATAGAAATATTATCCCTAATTTACAGAGGGGGAACAAGTGGCACAGAGAGACTGTGTGATTTGTACAAGGTCACACAGGAACTCTGTGGCAGAACAGGAAATTGAACCCCAATCTCCTAAGACCCAGGCTAGTGCCCTAAATACAGGACCTGTCCCTCCTCTCTAAACAATATCTGCTCGCCTGTATACTTACAGTTTATGATTTCACATGTAATCTGGTATTTTGCCTCAGGTCTAACCCTCTTGTGGGGTAGTGTGTGTGAACCAACTACTTCCTCTGCCTACTGATGGTCCTGGTAACTCACTCTTTTGAAGTGCATGGTTTGTGCCACAGATCCTGCATTTGATCCTTTACCCCAGAATCCTCATTTGTGGGAAGACTGCAATTTATCCCTAGCATCTGCTTCCTGAAGGCTCCATGAGTGGCACCTTGAGTGGAGAATGCTGCCTGTGCCCCATCCCACAGTCTTGCCCTTCAGGGCCATAGCTTCCCACCTCCAACATCAGTTTCTTGGGGTAATAGGATAAGCACTATTGGACAGCCCATCCCGCTTGAGAATCCAGCTCTCAGGAGAATGGAGCAGTCAATAGGTAGCCATATTTTGTCATTCTGCCCAGCCCCACCTTGATAGGGCAATCAGAGCAAGGGCAAAGACCTGGGAAGAGAAAGGAAAGAGAAGTTCTTCTCATGCTGCTCCCCCCGCTCCCCAAAACAGAACCTACTGGGTGGGGGGAGGGGAAGAAAAAGCAGTCCTTCTCATGCCACCTCCCCCACAATACAGGGCCAATACAGGGGAGAGAAGAGAGGTTCTTCCCATTCCATCCCTGCCCCCCACCCCCGCGCAATACAAAGCCAATGGGTGGGGGAGGGGAGAGGTTCTTCCCATGGCTGATCCCTTCCCCAATACAGAACCAATGCGGGGGGAGGGGGGGAAGGTCCTTCCCACACCACCCTCTTCCCCCACACAGGACCAACTGGGGGGGAAGAGACGAGAGGTCCTTCCCCTCCCCCCAGCAGAGAACCCCACAGTGTGGGGCCCCAGGACAATGTGAGGGAAAGGGGGTGCCCTCCTGCCCGGCGCACCCCGCCTGGCCCCAGTGCTGGGGGCCGGGGGGGGCAGCGATCCTTGCCCGCGGCCCGCGCCCCCTCCCCCGCGAGCCGCCGGCCCGTGGTGCGGGGCTCTCAACCCGCCTCTACCTGTGCCGGGGTGGGGGCTCCGGCTGGTCCCGCGAGCGGGGCCGGGCCGGGCCGGGCCGGGCCCCTCCGGCCGAGGGGCGGCTGGGTCGAGCCCCGCTCCCGGCCCCCCGCCACTCCGGCCGCCTCTCCTCCTCGCCTTTAGTTTGACCTTTTCCGTGTCTCTCCGCTCCCGGCCCCGACACTCTTTGACGTCAGTCCCCTAGCAACCAATCCCCGCCCCCTCCAACTCTCGCGCTCGCACACAGGGTGGGCGGGGAACCCGGCTCGGAGTAGCCAATCAGCGCACAGGCCACCGCCTCTTCTCCCCTCCCCGCCGCTCGAGCGCGCGCGCGCGCGCTGTTGCCTCGTGGCCTGGAGGCGCGCGTGCCGGGCCCGGGGAGGGGCCTGGCGGCGCGAGTGGCCGGGGTCCCCGCTGCACCTGTGCCTGCGTGCTCCAACCCCAGCCTGCGGGCCGCGGCTGCCCCCCTGTCCGTGCGCATACCGCGCACCCTGCACCGTCCGCGCCGTGCACCTTGTGTGCGCTCCGGGTTCGTGCCTCGCCGGCCGCGGGACACGAGTGAACTTCCCTTGCCCCCCCCCCCCCGCGAGTGTGAGCGCAGGCTCAGGGGAGGGAAGAGCAGGGCGGCTCAGGGCGTCAGAGCGAAACGCCTCTGGCCTTTCGGCGGGAGGAGTTGGGAAGGGGAAGAGCAGCGGCGCTTCCCCGGCGCGGCTCCTGCGGCGGGGTGCTCTTTGCTCGGTTCTCCCTGGGCAGAGGACAGGCAGGGATGCAGGGAGAGATTCTTGCACCCGAGTTGCATTCCTACCTCCCCCCGCCCCCGCTGACTCCTGAGCTTTAAGGAGTTCAGTCTCCTGATTCCTCACTGCCCCCCCCCCTCCCGCCTTAGTGGGCCAATGTCCATCTTCCCTACACACACTTTCTGTGGCTCCAGCTAGTGGCGTTGGAACAATTTTTGTGGTGGGGGCGCTGAAAGCCATTAAACGCAACTGTAACGCCTGTGTATGGTGGAAACTACTTCAAGCCAGGGGTGCTTGTGCACCTTCAGCACCAGCCTTCCCTTCAGATTCCTAACCTAAAGCCTGCTCCCACTGCCTGGGGGGGAGGGGGGGGCATGTGTGGGGAGATTAGCTACTTGCAATATAGAGTTGAATAAAACTTGGCAACTGTGTGCATGAGTTATACCCGCCCCACTGTATATGCACTGTTATACCTATATACCATCTACTGTACATCCACAGTGCTCACTCATGCACAATACACTGTGCAGCCTCTGCCCTGGTCTACACTAGGACTTTAGGTTGAATTTAGCAGCGTTAAATCGATGTAAACCTGCACCCGTCCACACAATGAAGCCCTTTATTTTGACTTAAAGGGCTCTTAAAATCGATTTCCTTATTCCACCCCTGACAAGTGGATTAGCGCTTAAATCGACGTTGCCGGCTCGAATTTGGGGTACTGTGGACACAATTCGATGGTATTGGCCTCCGGGAGCTATCCCAGAGTGCTCCATTGTGACCGCTCTGGACAGCACTCTCAACTCAGATGCACTGGCCAGGTAGACAGGAAAAGAACTGCGAACTTTTGAATCTCATTTCCTGTTTGGCCAGCGTGGCAAGCTGCAGGTGACCATGCAGAGCTCATCAGCACAGGTGACCATGATGGAGTCCCAGAATCGCAAAAGAGCTCCAGCATGGACCGAACGGGAGGTACGGGATCTGATCGCTGTTTGGGGAGAGGAATCCGTGCTATCAGAACTCCGTTCCAGTTTTCGAAATGCCGAAACATTTGTCAAAATCTCCCAGGGCATGAAGGACAGAGGCCATAACAGGGACCCGAAGCAGTGCCGCGTGAAACTGAAGGAGCTGAGGCAAGCCTACCAGAAAACCAGAGAGGTGAACAGCCGCTCTGGGTCAGAGCCCCAAACATGCCGCTTCTATGATGAGCTGCATGCCATTTTAGGGGGTTCAGCCACCACTACCCCAGCCGTGTTGTTTGACTCCTTCAATGGAGATGGAGGCAATACAGAAGCAGGTTTTGGGGACGAAGAAGATGAGGAGGAGGAGGAGGTTGTAGATAGCTCACAGCAAGCAAGCGGAGAAACCGGTTTTCCTGACAGCCAGGAAGTGTTTCTCACCCTGGACCTGGAGCCAGTACCCCCCGAACCCACCCAAGGCTGCCTCCTGGACCCAGCAGGCGGAGAAGGGACCTCTGGTGAGTGTACCTTTTAAAATACTATACATGGTTTAAAAGCAAGCATGTGAAAGGATTACTTTGCCCTGGCATTTGCGGTTCTCCTAGATGTAGTCCTAAAGCCTTTGCAAAAGGTTTCTGGGGAGGGCAGCCTTATTGCGTCCTTCATGGTAGGACACTTTACCACTCCAGGCCAGTAACACGTACTCGGGAATCATTGTAGAACAAAGCATTGCAGTGTATGTTTGCTGGCATTCAAACAACATCCGTTCTATATCTCTCTGTGTTATCCTCAGGAGAGTGAGATATAATTCATGGTCACCTGGTTGAAATAGAGTGCTTTTCTTCAGGGGACACTCAGAGGAGCCCATTCCTGCTGGGCTGTTTGCCTGTGGCTAAACAGAAATGTTCCCCGCTGTTAGCCACAGGGAGGGGGGAAGGTTGAGGGGGTAGTCACGCGGTGGGAGGAGGCAAAATGCAAAGCACATGTGCTATGTATGTAATGTTAACAGCAAGGTTTACCCTGAAAGAGTGTAGCCACTGTTTTATAAAATGTGTCTTTTTAAATACCGCTGTCCCTTTTTTTTTCTCCACCAGCTGCATGTGTTTCAATGATCACAGGATCTTCTCCTTCCCAGAGGCTAGTGAAGCTTAGAAAGAAAAAAAAAACGCACTCGCGATGAAATGTTCTCCGAGCTCATGCTGTCCTCCCACACTGACAGAGCACAGACGAATGCGTGAAGGCAAATAATGTCAGAGTGCAGGAAAGCACAAAATGACCGAGAGGAGAGGTGGCGGGCTGAAGAGAGTAAGTGGCGGGCTGAAGAGAGTAAGTGGCGGGCTGAAGACAGGGCTGAAGCTCAAATGTGGCGGCAGCGTGATGAGAGGAGGCAGGATTCAATGCTGAGGCTGCTGCAGGACCAAACCAGTATGCTCCAGTGTATGGTTGAGCTGCAGCAAAGGCAGCTGGAGCACAGACTGCCACTGCAGCCCCTCTGTAACCAACCGCCCTCCTCCCCAAGTTCCATAGCCTCCACACCCAGACGCCCAAGAACGCGGTGGGGGGGCCTCCGGCCAACCAGCCACTCCACCACAGAGGATTGCCCAAAAAAAAGAAGGCTGTCATTCAATAAATTTTAAAGTTGTAAACTTTTAAAGTGCTGTGCTTAAAGTGCTGTGTGGCATTTTCCTTTCCTCCTCCACCACCCCTCCTGGGCTACCTTGGTAGTCATCCCCCTATTTGTGTGATGAATGAATAAAGAATGCATGAATGTGAAGCAACAATGACTTTATTGCCTCTGCAAGCGGTGATTGAAGGGAGGAGGGGCGGGTGGTTAGCTTACAGGGAAGTAGAGTGAACCAAGGGGCGGTGGGTTTCATCAAGGAGAAACAAACAGAACTTTCACACCGTAGCCTGGCCAGTCATGAAACTGGTTTTCAAAGCTTCTCTGATGCGTACCGCGCCCTCCTGTGCTCTTCTAACCGCCCTGGTGTCTGGCTGCGCGTAACCAGCAGCCAGGCGATTTGCCTCAACCTCCCACCCCGCCATAAACGTCTCCCCCTTACTCTCACAGATATTGTGGAGCACACAGCAAGCAGTAATAATAGTGGGAATATTGGTTTCGCTGAGGTCTAAGCGAGTCAGTAAACTGCGCCAGCGCGCCTTTAAACGTCCAAATGCACATTCTACCACCATTCTGCACTTGCTCAGCCTGTAGTTGAACAGCTCCTGACTACTGTCCAGGCTGCCTGTGTACGGCTTCATGAGCCATGGCATTAAGGGGTAGGCTGGGTCCCCAAGGATACATATAGGCATTTCAACATCCCCAACAGTTATTTTCTGGTCTGGGAATAAAGTCCCTTCCTGCAGCTTTTGAAACAGACCAGAGTTCCTGAAGATGCGAGCATCATGCACCTTTCCTGGCCATCCCACGTTAATGTTGGTGAAACGTCCCTTGTGATCCACCAGAGCTTGCAGCACTATCGAAAAGTACCCCTTGCGGTTTATGTACTCGGCGGCTTGGTGCTCCGGTGCCAAGATAGGGATATGGGTTCCGTCTATAGCCCCACCACAGTTAGGGAATCCCATTGCAGCAAAGCCATCCACTATGACCTGCACATTTCCCAGGGTCACTACCCTTGATATCAGCAGATCTTTGATTGCGTGGGCTACTTGCATCACAGCAGCCCCCACAGTAGATTTGCCCACTCCAAATTGATTCCCAACTGACCGGTAGCTGTCTGGCGTTGCAAGCTTCCACAGGGCTATCGCCACTCGCTTCTCAACTGTGAGGGCTGCTCTCATCTTGGTATTCATGCGCCTCAGGGCAGGGGAAAGCAAGTCACAAAGTTCCATGAAAGTGCCCTTACGCATGCGAAAGTTTTGCAGCCACTGGGAATCGTCCCAGACCTGCAACACTATGCGGTCCCACCAGTCTGTGCTTGTTTCCCGAGCCCAGAATCGGCGTTCCACAGCATGAACCTGCCCCATTAGCACCATGATGCATGCATTGGCAGGGCCCATGCTTTCAGAGAAATCTGTGTCCATGTCCTGATCACACACGTGACCGCGCTGACGTCGCCTCCTCGCCCGGTATCGCTTTGCCAGGTTCTGGTGCTGCATATACTGCTGGATAATGCGTGTGGTGTTTAATGTGCTCCTAATTGCCAAAGTGAGCTGAGCAGCCTCCATGCTTACCTTGGTATGGCGTCCGCACAGAAAAAAGGCGCGGAACGATTGTCTGCCGTTGCTCTGACGGAGGGAGGGGCGACTGACGACACGGCTTACAGGGTTGGCTTCAGGGAGCTAAAATCAACAAAGGGGGTGCCTGTACATCTAGGAGTATTTCAGGCAGGACTTCACGGAGGGTTCCAATAAGAAATGGTGCACCTAAGTTATCGTTCTTATTGGAACAAGGAGGTTAGCCTGGCCTCTGACTGATACATGCCTAGATTTACCTCGCTGCACCTTCTCTGTGAGTGACTGCAGTGTGACCTAGAGGAATGAGTCCCCTAGACAGGGGAGGAGGCAAATGAGTACAAAACAAATCTGGTCTATTTCTTGTTTTGACCCACTCCATCTATCTTTTACATCTTTGGCTGGCAGCAGACGGTGCAGAAGGACTGCATGCCATCCACATCTCATGGCTGCTCGGCAGAAGATGGTACAGTACGACTGCTAGCCATCCCCATCTCTTGCCTGCCTGGCAGAAGATGGTACAGTACGACTGCTAGCAGTCCATATCGCCTGCCCGCTCACCATAAGACGGTTCAATAGGACTGACTGCAGGCAGGACTAAAGAGAATGACCTGGTCAAGTCACTCCAAATTTAGTCCCTGCGCCCATGTCTGCCCAGGCGCTCCCAACCGATGTGGCCAGGAGCACCTCGGACACGACGAGGACGACTACCAATCGTATTGCACCGTCTGCTGCCAGAAGGCAGTGGGTTGCTGCTACTGTGCAGCAAAGCCGTACCACGTCTGCCAGCACCCAGGAGACATAGGGTGACGGTTACCTGAGCGGGCTCCATGCTTGCCATGGTATGGCGTCTGCACAGGTAACTCAGGAAAAAAGGCGCGAAATGATTGTCTGCCCTTTCTTTCACGGAGGGAGGGAGGGAACGGGGGCCTGACGATACGTACCCAGAACCACCAGCGACAATGTTTTAGCCCCATCAGAGTGCTCCATTGTGACTGCTCTGGACAGCACTCTCAGATGCCCGATTGTTTGCCGTTGCTCTGACGCCGGGAGGGGCGCTTACAGGGTTGGCTTCAGGGAGCTAAAATCAACAAAGGGGGTGGCTTTACATCTAGGAGTATTTCAGGCAGGACTTCACGGAGGGTTCCAATAAGAAATGGTGCACCTAAGTTATTGTCCTTATTGGAACAAGAAGGTTAGCCTGGCCTCTGATTGATACATGGCTAGATTTACCTCTCTGCACCTTCTCTGTGAGTGACTGCAGTGTGATCTAGAAGAATGAGTCCCCTAGACAGGGGAGGGGGGGAAGCAAATGAGTACAAAACAAATCTGGTCTATTTCTTGTTTTGATCCACTCCATCTATCTTTTACATCTTTGGCTGGCAGCAGACGGTGCAGAAGGACTGCATGCCATCCACATCTCATGGCTGCTCGGCAGAAGATGGTACAGTACAACTGCTAGCAGTCCGTATCGCCTGCCCGCTCACCATAAGACGGTTCAATAGGACTGACTGCAGGCAGGACTAAAGAGAATGACCTGGTCAAGTCACTCCAAATTTAGTCCCTGCACCCATGTCTGCCCAGGCGCTCCCAGCCGACGTGGCCAGGAGCACCTCGGACATGACGATGACGGCTACCAGTCGTACTGTACCGTCTGCTGCCACAAGGCAAGGGGTTGCTGCTACTGTGTAGCAATGCCGTACCGCGTCTGCCAGCACCCAGGAGACATAGGGTGACGGTTACCTGAGCGGGCTCCATGCTTGCCGTGGTATGGCGTCTGCACAGGTAACTCAGGAAAAAAGGCGCGAAACGATTGTCTGCCCTTGCTTTCACAGAGGGAGGGAGGGAACGGGGGCCTGACGATACGTACCCAGAACCACCCGCGACAATGTTTTAGCCCCATCAGGCATTGGGATCTCAACCCAGAATTCCAATGGGCAGCGGAGACTGCGGGAACTGTGGGATAGCTACCCACAGTGCAACGCTCCGGAAGTCGACTCTAGCCTCGGTACTGTGGAAGCGTTCCGCCGAGTTAATGCATTTAATGCACTTAGAGCATTTTCTGTGGGGACACACACACTCGAATATATAAAACCGATTTCTAAAAAACCGACTTCTATAAATTCGACCTTATTCCGTAGTGTAGACATACCCTGTGTGTGTAACATTCTGTGCAACGTGTATATGCTGTGCATGTATTCTAAATCAAGAAATATGCACACTTTATCTACACAGCTGGCTAGGACTCTAGTCTGCACACAACTCTATACATTCATGAACTGTACATATGTCATATGTGCTCCATATATGTATTGTATACCATTTTGCCATGTGTGCACTGTATACCATGCATGCACAGTATGCTGTGAATACATTGTCGATTACACATTCACTATACAATACGGTTCCAAAACTGACAGTTTGAAGGAGGTTTCAAACGATTTTGAATGAGATTTTAAATATCTCATTGAGGCATATATAAGGTACTTACAGAGAGTGGATGCAATTGCTTTTCCTTTAAAATGAATGAGCAGTTGAGTGCGTGTATGCATGGTGACTGAGTACCATGCTCATACCCTGTTGTACAAAGGCTGAGGATTTCCAGCGTGCAGGACTTGCACGTGCATTGTAGAGACAGCACTAGCTCTACACTCAGACTCGATCATTTGAAAAGGAGAGTTCCTAAGGAAAATACGAAGGCAGAGTTTTTAACAGTCACTGGGCCAAATTCATCCTGCCTTAACTGAAGTTAGTGAAGTTACAAAAGGGATGAATTTGGCCCATTTTGTAGAAACTATACCCTTCCTCTGAGAGACAACAAACACGCTTTGGGCCAAAGCCTCTGTCAGACTCGCACTGTGCTACTTGCATGAGTAAAACAGCAGAGTTTGGCCTTCTGTGTTTGTTGTGTTGTATGACTGCAATTCATGCCTTACAGATCCTATCCTGCAAAATTCTTACTGACTTTAGTGATTCAGGATAGGGCCCTTAGCTTGTAAACTCTGAGAATAGGATTAATTTGGCACATTTTCACTGTGTATACTTATAATAACATAATATATAATTATAAATAATAAAATAAGAGATGCTGCCTGCCATGAAGCATCGCAGTCTAACATAAAACACATAGCAATATAGGTAAAGGAGGGTATGGAAAGATCAGTATCAAGAAAAGACCTATCAAATGCAAAACACTAGTGAGGCAAAATTTATTGATTCAGATATAATCTTAGGAGATGGCAGTGATAACCTTGCAATTCTTCCTTCATCAGATTGTGGTGGACCCGTGCATCTAATTTCCATAAGAATAGAAACTTCTGGCATTGAAATGCTGCCCTGAACATGTGTCCCCTCTGCAAACTTTCTTCTTAATGAGATATTGAATGGGGAGGGAAAGAATAAATGGTGGTTTCCAACAGTGGTTGGAATGATCAAAGAGGCCTGTGAAAACCAATTTTGTCTAGAGGGGGAAAATAGAGAGTAGATCTCTGCTTATAATGAAAAGGAGTACTTGTGGCATCGGATGCATCCGATGAAGTGAGCTGTAGCTCACGAAAGCTTATGCTCAAATAAACTGGTTAGTCTCTAAGGTGCCAC